TCAGGTTGAGGGTGGAATGGCAGTATTAAGGGACAGTTCATTCCCATCGCTGCTGGAAGGTAGATTAGAACCGAGAAGTAAACTTGGAGTCCCTGTCGGACACTACTATCACTGACATTCTATGTAATCTGACTATTTCTCGGATATACATTCTTGCCAACTTGTTCAAGGGATCGTTCATCTTAATCGCCAAGAAATGGGAAGACTTGGTAAGCTAGTCAATAATTACTCAGATGGCATCATATCATGAACGTGCCTTAGGCAATCCTGTTACAAAATCCATGGTGATATGTTCACACTTCCACTTCAAAATTGGTAATGGTTGAAGTAACCCATTTAGGTATTGATGCTCTGCTTTGACCTGCTAACATACCAAACACTTGGAAACAAAGTCAATTATATCTCTTTTTATTCTGTTCCACCAAAATTGGGGTCTCATACTTTGATACATCTTAGTGCTTTCGGGATACATGACAAACTTTGAGTTATGGGTCTCTGTCATGATGTCCTTTTTTAACTTACTATCACCTAGAACACACACTCTGTCCTGAAATCTGAGCAACTCATCGGTAGAGACTCGAAATTCTGAGTTAACTCCATGTTCTGCATCTTTCTTGAGGGTTGCTAGGGTGGAATCGGCGGACTGAGCTTCCTTTATTCTCTGGGTTAACTCCGGTTGAATAGTCAGGTGACCCAAATATGTGACTCTCTTCAGGTCCTGAAGCTGTACCTATTGTGCGGCCTCTATCTGCTTGCATTCTGAAACCATCAAATGAGTTAATGTACCTGCGTTTTTCCTGCTGTGTACATCAGCTACCACGTTGCCCTTTTCCGGGTGATACATGATGTCACAATCATAGTCTTTGAGGAGTTCTATCCACTCTCTCTGACGCATGTTGAGATTCTTTTGAGTGAATATGTGTTTTAAGCTCTTATGATCGGTATAGATCTAAAAGGTCTCCCCATACAAATAATGACGCTAACTCTTCAAGGCATGGATAATTGCGGCAAGTTCTAAGTTATGGGTAGGGTAGTTTTTCTCATGACTCTTTAACTGCCTGAATCAATAGGCTATGACATTCTTATGCTGCATCAAAATACAACTTAACCCTAGATATGAGGCATCACTGTAAATTGTATATCCACCCAATCCACTCTGTAAGGCCAACACAGGTGCGGTAGTTAACCGTCTCTTCAGTTCTGAAAAGTTTCTCTCACAGTTCTCGTTCCACTCAAACTTGACATTCTTCTTTGTGACCCGAGCCAGATGGGCAGCTAGACTAGAAAACCACCCTTCCACAAACCTGTAATAATAACCTATCATCCCCAGAAAGCTACGAATCTCCTTAACTTTGGTCAATTTTTTTCATCCGAACACTGTTTCAACTTTTTCAGGATTTACTAACACTCCATCCTTTGATATGATGTGTCCTAGGAAGGTAGTCTGCTCAAGTCAGAATCCACTCTTACTCAACTTTGCATACAGCTTCTTCTCCGTGAGAACTTGTAAAATCTGAGTTAGATAGTGAGCGTGTTCCTCTCTACTCTTTGAATACATCAGGATATCATCGATGAACACAATGATAAATTGATCCAAGAATTGTCTAAAAATCATGTTCATCAAGTCTATGAAGATGATTGGAGCTTTGGTTAGTCTAAATGGCATGACCAGAAACTTATAGTGTCCGTACCTAGTTCGAAAGGCTGTTTTGGGGATATCTTCTGCCCTGATTTTTACTTGATGGTAACCTAAACGTAGTTTATCTTGGAGAAAACTTGGGCACCCTACAACTGATCAAGAGGTCATCGATCCTAGAGAGGAGATACTTGTTTTTTATCGTGACCCTGTTCATACCTCTGTAATCAATACATAACCTCACGTCTCATCTCTCTTTTCTTGCAAATG